ACACATCTCACAACAGCTGGTGCCTATAAGCAGATTCCTACCCTTTTGCCCAGACCAGAAGCCAACATTTGTGTATTACACAGCAAATGGTCAACCCACTTAATCTCTATTCCTAGCAGGAAAGGAACAGGGCGCAAGAGGGGTACATGAAGAATATCTCCTTGCACTGGCTACAGAACGAGAACCACTGGCCCTGAAGGATCAACACCACCAAGTGATTTCACGGTCTCTGCCCTATGTAAGTAAAGCACTCTTCCATCCCATGCGTGAGTCATATCTTTCTTGGTGACCTTGATACAGACAAGCTATGCAGTGAATCGCTATGCTCAATGGTAGGATTTCTCCTTTGGATATAAAAACAAGTATTACTTGTTCAACAAGTAGTAATAATTATTGCAACTCCACAACAGTGCTATGAGAACATAATAGCATGAGGGGAATCTACTCTACCAACATAATCTTCCCGAAGTGAGCTGATTGTTGTTAGCTTTCCATTAAATACAACTCATAGTGATCCTAGGAACAGACGTGACCCTGTCCTATTCTGTGCCCTGGTCACAATATCTGACAATATCAAGCCCACTGCTGTTGTCACAGTGCAAAGTCTTCAGGCAGAAGGCCTTCCTCTTTTCCGCCAACCTTCCACCTTGCCAAATATGATATCCCTCTGCAAGGAAATGCTTCTCCTAGCAACATGCCCAAAGTATTTGGGGCCACGCTTCATCACCTTTGCCTCCAAGGTGCACTCTGGCTGTACCTTCCCCCAAGACACAGCCATTTGTTTGATGAGTAGCCATTAACTAAGTGGAAAAGAAGAAAAAGTGACCCCAGACAAAGTAAATAAAGTCCAAGAAGTATGCAAGACAAAGATCGCCTTTATTAAAGACGAAAGATATCAAAAGACCAAGAAGTAAGTATAAGATCACATGGTTGTGGGTAAAGGCATACAGGTATACGAGTAGGTACAGGTGCAGCTGCAGAACAGACAGAAATATGAAAATGTACACATAAACAGAGATAAGCGTACAGGCACATATATTCACTGAAGACATAACAAATACTCAAAGACATTCCAAGACTGGTATTCCTGGTTTGAAGGCTACAATCTCATGGGACAACTCAATTAGCATAATACATATTATAAACTCATATTCTGCATCCTAATGAAGTGAGAAGTGTCTAGGGTCTTTAAAGCTCCCAAGCAGCCATTTACAACTATTAAATATTACAATACAAATATTAGCCGCTATCAGAAACAACAGAGTATCAAGACAAACAATATAGCAAGTCAACAAGGCTGAAAAAGAAGGTGCCCACCTACCATCACTGACCATTCTGACAGAACTGTAGACAGTTCTGGGAAGAATGAGAGAAAAATGCAGAATAAAATTCAAATTCCTTCAAAAGAGACTAACTGGGCCAACTGGGACAAGGGTACTTCCTCAGACCATCACACCAAGACATCTTTTAAACGTAGAACAGAAACAATCCCAAGATGACCATCCAGTGAAACAGCAGGGTGGCACACAAAATAAAGGATCTTACTGTAAACCAGGAGACATTGCATTGGAGAAGTCTGCCGTTTAAGACATCTCCAAATTATTGAGAAGTAACAATGTCAGTTTGAGGACTAAGGTACATCTGATTCAGGCCATGGTCTTTCCAATCACTTGCCATCCATCTGAGAGCTGGACAATGAATAAGGATGAAAAAAGAATTGAAATCTCTGAGCTGTGGTGTTGGAGAAGAATGTTCGACATCCCATGGACTCCCAAAAGAACAAAGAGTTATGTCTTAGAGAGAGTGCACTCAGAGTGCTCTTCGGAGGCAAGGATGATGAGGCTTCACCTCACATACTTCAGACATGTTGCTAGAAGGAGTTATTCCTTGGAAAGGGACATGATGCTCAGAAAGGTAGAGGGTTGGCAAAGGAGAGGAAGACCCTCTACCAGGTGGATTAACAAGGCAACTGACACAACGGGCTCTGTCAGGAAGTGTAAGGATGGCACAGGATAGGACAGAGTTCAGATCTGTTGTTCATAGGGTAACTCTGGATCATACTCTAGTTGATGGCACCTAACAACAACAACAACAACTATAAGATCAAAGTTCCACAAAATGTGTATAACACAGAACATAGTGACTACACAACACACTCTTGTGAGGAAGTGTGAGGATGGCACAGGATACAACAAGGTTCAGATCTTTTGTTCACATGGCTGCTATGAGTCATACTCGACTCAACTGCACCTAACAACAACATGACACTGAAAGGTTAACATTTACTCTAAAAATGAGAAGATGAAATAACTAGTGTCATTGGACAATTTGTGCTGAAACTGTCAAATGAGAACCTAACATGATGTGTAAACTTTAACCAGAAACACAATAAAATATACTGTTTTTAAAAGGAGGTGAACAACAATGAATGAATATGTGAACGGGGGAGGGGGGAGGGGGGAGGGAAGAAGGGCAAAAAGGTGCAACAATGAATGAATGAAAATCTGAGTTTCTGTAAACTTTCATTAAAATCACAATTAAAATTAAAAAAGGGGGGGAGGTGAACATCCAGGCAGAGGCATCATCATAAGCCAAAACCATGTACCTAAGACAGCAGACACAAAAGAAAGGCTGGGTAGGAGGGGAAAGGAGATCAAAAGGCACTGTAGAGACAGGACAGCTTTGCTGCCAAGTCAAGCACTTCAATCTTTACCTTAAGAACAATGAGTACATTTTGAAAAAAAGTCACTTAGTGTGATGTAGAAAACTCTAGAGCATGTCAGAGTGAAAGCAAGTGGGCTGTAATGAGCCGGCTACTGAAGGTGACCAGAAGAGAACAACGGTAGTTAAAGAACTAGGGTAAGTGTGGTGGAGACCAAAGAGGAAGATTCAAGAGATATTCAAGAGCCAAAATCAATGAAGCATCAAATAGATTATGAGGCATGATGGCAGAGCTGTCAAACCTCGATTAGCCACGCTATTGTTGTTGTTGTTGTTGTTAGGTGCCATCGAGTCGCAGATGACTCATAGCGACCCTATGAACGAAAGGCCTGAGCACTGTTCATACATAAGAGTTTCTGGAGGCAAGACATTTCAGAAGTGGATGTCGCTCCTGCTTCCAGGCGAGTTAACAAATGGCAATAGAAGCAAATTTGTTTCTTGGTTGGTGCATCATGGAACACCAACATGAGAGTATGAAGGGTTAAGAAATACTCTTCTCTAGAAGGGCAGTGTATTTGTTTTATTGTGTGTTTATGGATCCTCGAGGTAAAAGGACAGGGCAGGCTTCAGAGCTGCTGTATAGGGCCGCTGAGTCACAAGCAACTCAATGGCACATAACAATGACAACAGAAGCAAAAGATTAAGTTTCTGCATATGTGACGTGGATTTGAAATGAATAGAGGGGAGGTCTTTGCCTTACACTGACTGCCTTTCCAAAACATTAATATTATAATGTTATCTCAAAGCAGAACTCTTTATGTACACAGCCGATAAATTTTTAAAAATTAGTGGCCTAGTGGTAAACTGTGCTGCAATCGCAAGGGTGGTTCGAATCCAGGTTCAGCAGGAAAAGGATGGGCAATCTCCTCTGTGCAATTTACTGCCTCTGAAAACCCCAGCTATGGCTCGGTTCCCACTTTGTTGACAAACAACAGGAGACTAAAGCAAACAAAAAGGCTTAAACGTCCAAAAAGAGACACCTGCCTCTCATGCCATTACCAGAACAGGTTCCGGTTTTCTTGTGACATATTTGGCAAATTTCTTTAAAGTAATAATTTTCCAGAATAAAGAGGCACAAGACTTAAACTTCTAATCCACAAAGTCAAGAGCAGAAAAATAAACCTGAATTTGATCTAGGAAAAAAATTTGTCTGCAACTTACAAATAAGTCAGTACTGACAATAAGTCCCTAGAGCCTGGAATATCACGAAGATGTGAGAAGGGTAGATCTGGTAACAAGGGACTCCGTAGTTACAGATCATAAGTATGTGTTCAATTGCATCCAGGGAGGTTTTACAAGCTTTATTGGTCTAAACCTTCTACCACCCTTTCTTCTTTGCTTAAAAAAACAAACAAAAAACCTAAGTCATCTATAGGGGGCTTTTATTCTTAACAAAACACCAGCCCCACCCACCTCACACACAATAACCTTCCAGTCCAGAGCTAAAGCTACTGCCAGAGGGGCCCTGGGTGATAAGCCAGGTTATCAGCAGCAGACCTCAGAACTGAAGGGGAGCTGTCTCACCCAGTCCCGGAGTAGTGTCCAATTTCCCAAAAGAGAACCCAGATCTCCCCTATGGAAACCCGAGCTCCGATGGCAACCAGGGAGACACCCCCTCCAGCGCACGGGCTCAGGGTCCCGGGTCACCTTAAGCCTCCTGGCGGGGCTCAGGCCTCCAGAATCCACTCCCCTCTTTCGCTGCTCCCCGCGAGTTGGTTCACGCTGTCACCTACCACTCCCCTGTCCCAACCCGCCGCAGGCCCGTCACCAGGCAACAGTCGCCAGCCAGCGCGGCCCCGAAGGCCTACTCGAGTGCAGATCCTTCCTTATTTCCTCTCCCCACTGGTCTGGGGTGTCCACGCTGGAGGAGCGCCGGCGGGAGAGGTCATTCAACGGCCGCTGGCAGACACTCACCTCTTTCTCTCACCTCCCGGGAGGGGCGGCGTTGAAACTCGCTTTCCCCCGGCCCCCCAAACGTCACCCGGCCGCACTGGCTCAGCCTCGGCGCCTGGTCGCTCCAACCGGTTTACTCCATAGCTTCTTACACCCGCGCGGACGCCACGGCTGGAGCCCGAGAAGGGAAGAGGGTGAGGAGGGGAGGGAGTAGGGAAGAAGAGTAAGGGAGGGGGAAGAAGACAGAGGGACCGGCTGGCCAGGTCATGACGTCACCTCCGCCTTGCACGGAAGAGGCGGGCCCTGGAAGCCCTCGGGCCCCGCCCCCTGAGCCGCGGGGAGGCGGAGTTACAGGTCCGCAGGCGGAGCCGTGGTGATGCACGCTGATGGCGGTTCTTTTGACTCCACGGTTCCGTAGCCTTGATGATGAGAGCGAACTTCCGGACATAGGACTAAGCCGGTCCAGTTTCGTGAGCTTTCTGGGTGGCCTCTGTTGTAAAAGGAAGACAGGTGACTCAGATTTTAACCAAATGTGTAGTAAAGGTGGGGGGCAGCTGAGGGAGAAGGGTGACGTGGGCTCTTCTCAGGCTTCTGGGCCCCGCCCCTCTCCTGGCCCCGCCCCCTCACTGTCCCTCCTGCTGTCAATGGCTCTGGAGGAGACTTTTCTGGAGCTTCGCTGAAGTGTCAGAGGAATCCACAAAAGCTGTGCTTCTTAAATTTTAATTTATGTTCTAATTACTTGGAGATCTTTATTAAAATGCATGCTCCTACTCAGGAACTGACTTTCGTAGTTTGCATTGCTAATGAGCTCTGGAGACCTAAGGGATGCCAACCCAGAGGCACGCAATTCAGATCATTCAGCTGCTCTGCTGGAGCAGATAGGCAGTTTACAATCTCAGAAATCCACTGGAAGATCAGCTATGAGTTGGTTCCAACTAAATGATGTTGAGTTGAGTTGAGTTGAATAAGATGCTGGTCCCCAGGCTACATCACACCTACTGACGCTGGACGAATGAAAATAATAGGCCATTTCCTTGAGCACAAGGATATTTTCTTTTTACTAGCCTAATTGGTTCATAAAATTTAGAGAGATAGGTTTTCCCTCGAATTACCCTTTTATCTACCACTCAGAGCCCCCCCAGCCCTTTCCTCCTCCCACATCTCTCCTGTGTCTCTTCTCCTCCACCGGTCTCTGCACTATCTTCATTGTCTCTGGATAGTATTTCAAAGAATGACCAAGGAACAGTGTGTTCCAAAAATTTCTTTGAGGTGTTGGCTTTTTATTTCTATCATTTTTGTAATTTAAAAAAGTCTTAATATAAATAAGAGTATTCAGTAACTCATAGCCAAGGATGGGAAGAGTTTAAACTAAAATCTAGCAACAGCATTCTCATTGTTTCCATTTATTCCCTATTAATTCTTGAAAAAAATATGAAAATATATGAGAGGAGGGAGGGGTCTCTTTTGGAGTGATGAAATATTCTGACTCAGTTAAAGATGATTATATAATCGTGTGTGTGTGTGTGTGTGTGTGTGTGTGTGTGTACCATCAAAAGGTATCTGGACAGGTGCAAGAGGAGATTGTCCCTCCTTCTCCAGCAGAGCATCTGGTGGATTCTAACCACTCTCCTCTGGGATTGCAGTGCAGCTTCTTGCCACTAGGCCACCAGAGCGCACCATGATTACATAATCTTAACATGTTCTACACCTTAACACCTTAACTTGTTCAAGGATTAATTTTATGGTATATGAATTATATCTCAATAAAAAAATATAAATTATACATAAAAGTTATACTATTTTAGAGTTCTATAAAAGATGAAAAGTAAAAATCTTTCCGTTATACTCCCAATTGAGTAAGGTAAACTATTTGGAGTTTATCCTTCCATACCTGTTTGTTTATTTACATATTTGTATATAGGATAGAAATTAATTTTTACTTAGGTAGCTGATAATACACATTATTCAATCCTTGGAGGTTTTTTTGTTTATTTGTTTGTTTGGGTTTTGGGGTTTTTTTCCAAAAATAAGACACTTCTAAGCCCTAAATTTAGCACTACTAGTGGGAAGAAGCTGCACTGCAATTCCGAAGACACCTGGTTCAAATCCACCAGATGCTCTGTGGGAAAAGGATGGGCAATCTACTCTCATGCAATTAACTACCTGTGAAAACCCACTAGAGGGCCACCTACAGGTTGGTTCTAACTCTGAAGTATACAACAACAACTTCAGTCTTGGCTATCTGGTATTATTTAATAAGGCTATATGTACATTGTTGTTGGTATGGAGACAGGATGCATCCCTGGCATACACCCTTCCCAATTTTGAACCATGCAGTGTTACCCTGCTCTGTTCTGACTACTGCCTCTTGATCCAAGTACAGGTTTCGCATTAGCACAATTAAATGCTCTGGGATTCCCATTCTTCTCAGAGTCAGCCACAGTTTGTTATGATCAACACAGTCAAATGCCTTTGTATAATCAATGAAACAGAGATAGACATTCTTCTGGTATTCTCTGCTTTCAGCCAAGATCCATCTAACATCAGCAACAATATCCGTAGTACCACGACCCCTTCTAAACCCAGCCTGGACTTCCGGCAGTTCTCTGCTGATGTGGATTGGTGGAAGATCTATTAACAATCTGCGTTATGCAGATGACACAACCCTGCTTGCTGAAACGGAGGAGGACCTCATGCACTTGCTACAAAGGGTCAGGGACTGCAGCCTTCAGTATGGACTGAGGCTCAATGTCAAGAAGACAAAGATTCTCACCACTGGACCAATTGGCAGCATCAGGACGGATGGTGAAGAGATTGAGATTGTTCACAGCTTCAGTTTGCTCAGCTCCACAGTCAACACTCTTGGCACCAGCAGTCAGGAAATCAAAAAGCATATCGCGATGGGAAAGTCTGCTGTTAGGGACCTCCCTAAAGTACTCAGGAACAATGGTGTCTCTCTGGAGACTAAGGTGCGCCTGATACAGGCCATGGTATTTGCAATCGCTTGTTATGCATCAGAGAGTTGGACAATGACTAGGGAGGACAGAAGGAGAGTGGATGCTTTTGAGCTGTGGTGCTGAAGAAGAGTACTGAATATACCATGGACTGCCAGGAAAACAAACAGATTCATCTTGGAGAGGATTAAGCCAAGCTACTCCTTGGAGGCAAGGAATCTGGGGCTTCGTCTGACATACTTTGGACATGTTGCCAGGAGGGACGGGTCCTTGGAGAGGGACATCATGCTTGGGAGGGTGGAGGGACAGCGCAGGAGGGGAAGACCCTCTATGAGGTGGATTGATTTAGTGACTGGGGTAATCGGGATGGATGTGTCAGAGGCAGTGCGGTAGGCGCAGGATAGAGCAGGGTTTAGGGCTGTTGTGCATAGGGTTGCTATGAGTCGAAAACGACTCGACAGCACATAACAACAACAACAACATACGTACATTCTGTCACTAGAGAGATTTCGTATGTATGGGGAAAGTGTTGCTGCAGATGTTTTTGGCAGCCAGCTAGAGGGCCTCGAAGGTTCACCCTTGGCTGCATTTTGTTCCAGCCATCATAGTGAGGTGTTTGCCAGTTGAGAGTTGGGATGGTTCTGAGCCAGAATAAGAGGCACAACAGAGAAGCTGATCACATTGTAATTGGGAGTCATTTGGTGGAGGGAGATTTCCTCAGTGATTCTACAGAGCGTGGAAAAGGATCATTCCTGGGATCTTCTTCCAGTCTCTCATAACTGTGCCATTTAAACTCTTTATTAATCGTTTTGCTGATCTTGAGAAACACCTTTTTGTTTGTTTTCTAAGAAAGATGTTAAGAACATAGATGCCTATTTGGAAGTTAGTTGAAAAGTACCCTTTCTGTCATTTAGAAAGTCAGATACTGGATTAGTGGATGGTACAGGGCTCTGAGTCCAACTTGGGGGTATATGACAACAACAGCTTGTGTAAGAGCATTTTTAAAAAGTTGAATTTACAATAAGATTTGTGCCCCTGGGTACCCTGAAAAGATAGTGAAGCCTTTAAGATTCCATTCATCCCTTGTGGGTTCTGCAGGTTCTGATAAAGTGGAACTCCTTAGGGACTCTCAAATAATCCCTGTGCTCTGTGGAAGACTTTTTGAGATGGCCCAGGGGAGCCTGGTTGGCCCAGACACATGTCAGGCTTGCCATAAGAGCAAAGTCATCTGACCACAGATTTGGCCACATCATTAGGCATAAACTGACTAATGAGGCATGCTGGGAACCCATTGCAGCCAGCCCTGTGCTGGCTACAGTGAACCTACAGAAGAGAATCTGCTTCCTCGCCAGGGGCAGTAATGCCTGCCATTCACAAATTCTGCTTCTAAAGTATCTCAGATGGTCTGCCTGAACTCACAAGACTTTGGTGCCTCCTACAGAGTAATATATTAGACGTCCTTGTCTAACTATTGGGACTCCATTGAGCAAACCTTTCTACTGATCTTCAGGTCCCAACTGATGGCCTCCCCAAATGACCCTTCCACCCTAACCGTGTCTCTCCTGTCCTTGAAGAGTGTTCTTGACCACAAGTTTCCCCTAGAAGCTGCTTGGGGATACAGGACTGCGTCCTTTCCCGTCTGTCCCTCTCTCCTCTGAGCCCTCAGCCTCCAGTGCTCTCTGAGAACGGCCAGCTGTGTTTCTCCCTCAGAGAGTTTACCACTATTCTAGGAGGAGAAAAGATATCCCAGATCCAAACATTTTCTATAGGATTTTTAAATTATACCTTAAGCAAGACAAAACCAAAACATTCCAGAATAAAAGAAACTATCAGCATGCCAAAGGAATCCATTGGATCTCAGCCATGGTTTTTATGTAAGGCAAAGAAGATCGCCAGTGCACCTGGTGGCAGGTGATGCTAAACACTGTGACAACGTGCAGGGTGACCAGCTCCTCTGTGTTTAGGGTTTGTTTTCCGTTTGTCAGAGCAGCAGAGGGGACCCCACTGTTCCCCCTGGGTAGACGGGGCCAGGGGCTCACCATTGTTTTACTGCCCTCATGCTGTGTTTGAAATTCCAGAACTCTTTTTTTTCTATGTAAATATCAAAAACTTATGATTTGTGGAGAAAAAAAAAACCACTGTGGGACTGATGTGTCAAATGTGATAATGATTGCCCATGGTGGACATGGTGGAGCTCCTCTATTAAAACAAGCTTGGAAGCAGGAGTGGCATCCACTTACAAAATACCTTGCCTCCAGACGCTATGAACTTGATGAAACGATGAAAGTTACACAAGTATTCAGGTCTTTCATTCATAGGATCTCTGTGAGTCACCTAGGACTCAGCGTCACTTAACAAAAACAACAACATACATACTTTGGACATGTTGCAAGGAGGGACCAGTTCTTGGAGAGAGACATCATGCACTTGAGAAAGTAGAGGGACGACACAAGAGAAGGCCCTCAATAAGATTGATTGATTCATCCATGACTGGGATAATTGAGGTAGGTGTGTCAGAGACAATAAAGTTGGCTCAGGATAGAGCAGGGTTCAGAGCTGTTGTACATAGGGTTGCTATGAATTGCGGGCGACTTGATGGTACAAAAGAACAACATAAAGCAACATCTTTTCTGGACAAGTCCCTGACGGCAGATTTTACTATTGCAATTCATCTTTTCATTTCTTGACTGCTGGTGACAAGAATGTTGATTATGGAGCCAAACAAGCTGTAATTATTAACAACCTCAATCTCTTCTCCAACTATAATGGTGCTGCCAGTTGGCTCAGTGGTGAGAATCTGTTTCTTCTTGATGTTGAGTTTTCAATCCATATTGAAGACTACAGTCCTTGACCTAATGCAGCAAGCACTTCAGGTCCACTGTAGTTTCAGCAAGCAAAGTTGTATCATTTGCATAATGTAGATTCAGCAATCTTCTTGCATAATGTAGATTCAACAGTCTTCTTCCAGTTCTAATGTCACATTCTTCCTCATAAAGCCCAGCTTCCCGAATGATCTTTCTGCATATAGATTGAAAGGGTGTGGAGACAGGATGCATCCCATACGCTCTCCTTTCCTGATTTTGAACCATGCAGTTTTTCCTTGCTCTGTTCTGAGGACTTCTTCCTGGTCCAAGGTAAGGTTTTGCATAAGCAAAATCAAGTGTTCTGGGATTCCCATTCTCCTCAAAGTCAGCCACAGTTTGTTGTAATACACACAGTCAAATGCCTTTGCATGGTCAATGAAACACAGATAGACATTCCTCTGGTACTCTTTTTGGGTTTCTGCCAAGATCCATCAGACATTGGCAATGATGTCTCTAGTTCTATGACCTCTTCTAAACCCAGCTTGTATTTCTGGTAGTTCTCTGTCAATGTATTATCCCAATCTTTTCTGAATAATCCTTTAGTAGGATTAGGTGTACCTGATTCAGGCCATAGTCTTCACAATTACATGCTTTGTGTCAAAGGACTGGACAATGACTAAAGAAGACAGAAGAAAAATTTATGTCTTTGAGTTGTGGTGGTGGAGAAAAGTCATGAACATCTGATGGACTGCTAAGAAAACAAAGAGGTCTGTCTTGGATAGAGTGAAAGCAAATTTCTCCTTGGAGGCTAGGATTTTGAAGCTGTCTCCCACACTTGGGGCATATGGCCAGGAGGGACTGGTCCTTGGAGAAAGACATCATTCTTCTGAATGGAGGAAGTGCAAGAGGAAGACCCCAGATGAGATGAATTGATACAGTAATAGGGCAATGGGGGTAGGTGTGTTGGAATCAGTGAGACTGACTCAGGACAGGCCAGGCTTCAGGGCTGCTGTACTTAGGGTCCCTTTGAGTCACAGGTGACTCGGTGTCACATAAAAAGAACAACAGTTCACTAGTTGATGGACTCAATCCAATGGATCAGGAGTTGCACTGTCAACACAAGGCAGCTGGTTCCAGTGCACCAGCTACATGGGCCATCTCTTACCTTGCATTTCACAACCTTGAAAACCCGCTGGAGAATTAGCTGTGAGGTAAACTGGCATTGGGGGAGAGTTTTTGGACATTTTTATTGTTTCTGGATTTTCATAACAAACTTTTAAAAATAAAAATAACTATTGAGAGACATATTGTGTAGTTTTATTTTGGCTCATTGCCCTCTATTACTTTTTTAAAGCATTTATCACTGGTCAAAAGGGAATAAAGAAAAGGAAAAACAAAAAGTCTCATGAATTCTCATCACTATAATAATCAAGACTCACGTGTCTATGCATTCTTTCAAAATGTTTCCTGACATAATAGTTGTCAAGATTAATTAAGCATGTTGTTGTTGTTGTTGTTACATGCCATCAAGTCACTTGCGAATCATAGCAGCCCTGTGTACAACAGTCCTAACCCCTGTTCTATCCTGTGTCACTCTCACTGTCCCTGATACATTTATCCCCATTACCCCGTCACTGAAATCAATCCATTTCATCAAGTGTCTTCCTCTCTTGTACTGTCCTTCCACCCTCCCAAGCATAATGGCCCTCTTCAAGGACAGATCCTGCCTTGCAACTTGCCCAAAGTATGTCAGACAAAGCTTCAGAATCCTTGCCTCCAAGGAGCAGCCTGGCTTCACGCTCTCCAGGATAAACTTGTTTGTTCTCCTTGCAGTCCATGGTATATTCAATATTCTCCAGCACCGCAGTTCAAAGGCATCAGTTCTCCTACCATCCCTAGTCATTGTCCAGCTTTCTGATGCATAGCAGGTAATTGCAAAGACCACAACTTGTATTAGGCACACCATAGTCTCCAGACTGACATCGTTACTCTTCAGTACGTTGGAGAGGTCTCTGCCAGCCGATTTTCCCAATGCAATAAGTCTTTTAATTTCCTGACTGCTGGTGCCAAGAGTGTTGATTTTGGAGCTAAGCAAACTGAAGCTGTTAACAGTATCAATCTCTTCTCCATCTATCATGATGCTGCCAATCGGCCCAGTGGTGAGAATCTTTGTTTTCTTGATGTTGAGCTTCAAGCATATTGAAGACTGCAGTCCTTGACCTTCTGTAGCAAGAGTTTCAGGTCCTCCTCACTTTCAGCAAGCAGGGTAGTGTCATCTGCATAACGCAGATTGTTGATGTGTCTACATAGATACTAGCATACTGTTGCAGTCATAAGAATATATTCACATCCATAAAACATCCTCATGTTTACTTTTGTTTTTATTGGTAGACAGTTTTTATGGTACAGCAGTAGTAAATACATTCTGGTTTATATAAGACTTCTGATTGAGAAACTTGATAGAAACTGGCGATTTATATGCCATAAGGAAGCATAAAGTCATCAGCACTGAAAAGCCAATGTATATTTGTTTGATCTAAATTAGGAGCATATGTGTATTTCTTTTCTGGATTCTCTGGTCCTTTTTAAGCCACTCAGCTCTGGGATGGTGTTATTCACTCCCTTTATACACAAGAGGACATAAAAAGAAGACAACATAACTTACGGTTACACAAGGCCTGTTTTACTGGTTCTGATGCTGTTGATGTCGTATTAACTCATCTGATGCAAAATATGTTCCTACTTAGCAGTGACATCTCTTGTCTGAAAGGAGTACATCTTTGCCAAATCCTAATGAATCATAAAGTATTTGAACCAGCAGGAGTGAAGCTATTAAAAAATGAGAAGGATTTGGAATTTGAAGATTCAAGCAGCAGTCTTTACCGATTTCTGAGCTTCAAGCCATCTCGGGTGTTTTGCAAAAGAAAGAAGGATGTCAAGTATGAGCTCATTGATGAAAAAAAGCAAAAGAATATTCACGGTTATTTTTTTTATTATTATTATTAAATTTTATTAGTTTCAATGAACATTCACAGGGATTCTGGACTTTCACTCTTTCATTGCCGCACCATTCTCTCCACCCTCCTCCCCAGTTTGTTCTTCTTCCCCGCCATCCGAATGGCTGTTTTAATTGCCCAATTGCCACAGTGCTTGTCAAAGTCAGTTCTGATTAATCTCCTTTGTCGGTGTGTCCTTTGCCATTCCCTATCACTCCTCCCTGAGAGAG